GGTGACGGCTGCCAGAGCCACAGCTTTCCAGGTGTCCTACAAGCCAGCCTCCAGAACATACTGGGCTTTGCTTCACCATCGCCCTCCTCACAGCTCAGCTCTCTCTACTGCAACAGCGCTCCAGAGAGGGGCTGTGGGAGGTGCCCTCTCTGCTGACCCCGGGCATCAGCCTGGCCCCCATGTGTTGGCACAGCGTCCCTTTCTTGGCCTCTAAGACTCTCTCTGTCCCCACTCCAGTCTCAGAAACAGATCTTTCTTTGGATCTGGGCCTGTTGGAAGCAGGTTCTTATTCCTGGGCTGCCTCTGGCCTCTGGCACAACCCAGCCCCTGGGTCCCAGATCAGACTCTGCCCAGAGCAGCTGGCAGGCACAGCCTGCACTGAGGACAGAGGTTGCTCCCACCCTTCCTAGCAGGAAGACTTCACAGGCCTCTCTCCCTCTGCCTACCCATGAAACGCTCCCATCTACCCGGGTACCTTGTGACATTCTTTCAGGTGACGAACCCCAGAGCCACCCCCACCTGGGAGCCCTGCAATTGCCTGGAGGCCTGTAGCTCCTGCACAAGGGTACTGTGCACACTCTCCCTTCTCCGCAACTTCAGTCACCCCCACCCACCCCCTCATCACCGCTTCCAACTGCCCTGCCTGGCCCTCACCCTAACCCTGAACGACCTGCACACTCAAGACAGCACCCCCACCTCCTCCTGCCACACTGCCACAAACTCCTGTCTCACCGCCATCCCTCTGGATCCACAGCCACCTGATGGGCCTCACACCCCCACCTCAGCCCCGCCATCCCTCACTGTACACACGGTTTCACTCACTCAGAGCCCGTGAACCACATACGCAGCCACAGTGCAGACTCTGCTGCCACCGCCTGTGTCACACACAAGACTGCCCCTGGGGCCGTGGGACTGGCCCTCCTAGAAATGGACCACCATCCACTGTCTCCCCTCCAGGACCTGCTGGGACGAGTGAGTCGATTCTTATCTGTGAAGTGCTTAAAACTACAGCAGGCACTGGGATGCTATTCAGAGCACCCAGGTGCCAGCACATGCAGAGCTGGTCCACCACGCCACTCTGGCAAACGGGCTCTGCCCCCGGCACCATCTGCTGACCACCTAGAGGACTTCTGGTCATCCTTCAAGGCTCAGCTCAAACGCCTCTGCTCTGAAGCCCTCTGACTCCTCAGGCCAACCCAGGGAGCACCCTGTGCTCACACTTGCAATACGGCCAGACACAAACGTATCCGGTATAACCACTGTGCTGCCTGCTCCTCTCCAGGCAGAGAGCTAGCCTCTGTGATCCCGGCTCCCAAGACAGGGTCCAACCCACATCACACACACAATAAACATATGCTGCTCTCAAATTCCGACGCGAGTCCAGACCTCCCTCCCACCATCCCCAGCCTCGGGCTCATGTCCAACTGCCCTGGAGCCACACAGTTCTCAAACCAGAACCTTCGCTGCCCACTCCACGAGGGAGCACAGAACCACTCGCAACTCAACAGGTCTGGAGGCCCCTTCCTACCCCTCCCCGCCCCGTCAGGCTTGTTCCAAGGCCCAAAACTCTGAAATCTTCCCCCACCTGGACAAGCCATCCCACCTACCCTCCACAGGCATACAGCAAGGTGTCACATCCCTGCCACACTCCCAGCCACCTGAGAGCCATCAGGGCAAGGCAGGGAATAGCCGAGCAAATGGGTAAAGGCACCTGCTCAGGAGCTCAGTGGCCACATTCCCCACAGGGCAGAAGTCTGGCCCACACAGGGGTGGGCTACCCTTGGGAAACTCTCAACCCAGATTAAGAGGGCACAGCAACTCTGGACCCAAGCCCTGTGCACAGAAAGGTGCCCTGAACCCTTGGTCCAGAGATACCACTGGTGACCACCACTGGCCACCATTCAAGAGCAGTCTCCCTTGTCCCACCAGCTCTCCAAGCCAGAAATAACACTTGTGGGTCTGGGGCCTCCTAGGACCTGAGTGCTCATTGCAAGGCTACTCCCCTGACGCGCAACCAGCCCCGGCCTGGGGCCTCAAAAGGATCAGTCACTCCCTTCCACTGGCAGGACCACCTCCAATTCCAGCACCCAGAGGGGGTCCTTCCTGGAGGCCAAGGCCATCCCTACCTGCTGCCCTCAGACCTTCCTGGCCCCAGGGCACCCACAATAGCCCCTCCGGGCCCAACTGGCCTCATTTCCTCTTGTCAGATCCAGGCCTCCCTACACTGCCCACCTGGACAATCTGTCTACTTTGGAAAGATGTCCCTTCTCATACTGACCTCATTACTCATCTGCCAGCCACGCAGGAGTCAAGCACTCCCAGCACCCAGAATTTCTGTGAGGATCGTGGGGGGGGGGGCAGTTGCATGGTCACTGGGAGGCACGTGTGGGATCTACACTGAAGCAGGTTCATACATGCGTGTCCTGTGGGCACAGCACACGTGTCTCTGCTGCTGTGAAGTGTCCGTAAGCCCGTGCAGGGTGTGTGTGTGCGTATGTCTGTCGTCCACCTCGAATGTGTGTTTGAGTTTACCCTTGTCGTTTCTCCGACTAGCCACATGTATTCAGGCTCCAAGCAAGTCCACAGGGGAGCTGGGGAGCAGCCCGGGAGGTGGGGGTCACTCACCATGCCGTGTGTCATACTGTCTCATCTGCACCTCCTCCACGCAGTCTGCCGGGAACCAGCCTGTGCGGCCTTTCACGGTCCCCTCCCAGAAACCGCCCTCCCCAATGCTGAGCACTGGGGGGACAGAAGCCAGAAAGGCTGTCAGGGCAGAGCAGGGCAGGGGGGCCCATCCCCCCCCACCACCCTAG